GGGGGGAAGGGGGGTTCCAGACTCCTCGTAAGGAGCGGGTACGTCGCATCTGCTCGATTCACCTCGGTTTACCTCCGTGTTAACCCCGGGCGACAGTTTCGTTGCCGCACCTCATCGTCATCGCTTTTGTTCGGATATCTTCTGAACGAGGCAAACCGGGAGACAAATCGGATAAGCTTCATTCTCGCGTTTATGTATTAGCCTAATTTTAGTAACAAAGAAGCAACTACGACGGATTATCTAGAAAAATACAAATAATTCGTCATAAAATTCGAATTATGCGAAATATCTGTGATGTATATTTGTGAATCTTCATTTTAATTCTTTTTATATATTTTTTTTTACTTATCTTTTCTTGCTGATGGAATTTCGAGATATTGTCAACTTTCTTTATAAAAAAAATCTTCAAATGTCGCAAAAAGAGTCATGTTTGTATATTAAACCTCAATTGTTTTGGAAACTCGATGTGCTGAAAAAAATTTAGCTTGCGAGATCGTTTTTTTAGCATTCGGAAATCCATAAGAAACACTTGTCAGTTCAAATTTAATTAAGTTTTTCCTATAAACCGGTGTTAATCAAATTAATAATTGAAATCCAGGAAGTAGGAAGAAAACTTTAGGGAAGTAAGCTCTCGCTCGTAAAATATTTAGAGACAAATATACACGCACACACATACACATAAATACGCGAATGATAGATTACTCTCTGAAGTTTTCTTCCCGAACAATTCTTTGCCTACATCGTTAAATTCAAAAATTACAAGTCAGACAACTAAATCCACAGGCAACCATTCGTTCGTTTCCAGTCTGTTCCGCTCGTCAAGATAACGTAAGCTGCGCGCGCGGGAGAAGGCAAAAAAGCACGGAACAAAGTTGAATTGATGCAGCAGCCGGGGCGGCCATTTAGTAAAGTTCTTCTTGGTAACTTATAAAGCAACTTTCTCGTTTAAGACCAAAGTAAACTGAATGTACACCGAATTGAACTGGACTGAATAGACGGCGGAGTGTTAGCCTGCCTGCTTCGGACTATGACACATTGCATCGGCGGATCAAGACTGATAGTCGCAAGATGGTGGCTGTCTTTTCCCCGAGTGGGAAAGGGGCGAATAAAAAGTACAGCCAACTTTCTACAATGCAGATAGAGAGCGGCGATATAAAACGCCCGGCATCGAATAAATCACGTTCGCTACAATCGCGGCTCTTGTACAATCGACCGCGTTCGCGAAGCAGCAGCTGTATTTGCCTTCATTCAGAGCCGTTCAATGAACGCGTTCTGTCGCGTCCTCAAGCGAGAAAAAGTAAGCTGGCGAGCGAGCGAGCGAGCGACCGACCGACCGACTTTCTTCAATTCGTCGTGGCGATAATTGCTCTTACAATACCAGACTATGGTTAACGTCAGTCTGCAACTCGAAAAAATGTTTCGCTAGAATTTTACATGTTACAGTTAAAATGCATCACTATATCTGCTGGAAAATTGTCTGCCGTACGTAGAATTTATAGCAGCAACACATTTTAACGATATATACGCAAGAAAATTTAGGTCTCGTAAGTAAATCACATAGTCATTTTTATAAGTGGTGCTATTATCCGACTGAGCGCCACAGAGAGATTTTTTTTGCTAAATTTTTTTGACAAACTGTTTGATAGAGACATAAATTCTGCCTCTATCATCTATATTAATTACATATAAAACATGTGCCATATCGCAATGCTAGTCATTTATTTATTTTAGCTAATTTTTTGCATGTAGATTTTGCTGCTATGACTGCAAGATCTTTTTTTTTTCAGTGGAGTTTTTCGTTCTTCGATCCGGATACATCGCTCATATTTAATTCCGCGGCAAATTTTAGAGTTTCAGATTTTAAAGTGCCGAATTTGTTTGCTCGTGAAAATGGGGGTGCCCAGGGTAATTTCGGAGTCCTTACAAGATATGGCGAAAATTTCACGCCCTCCAAATACTTCTTACATTTACACCGACCGATACATCGACAAAATATAACGACGGGCTAAGTTACAGGATTCGTCTTTATTTCCCTCCGTTTTGCAAACGACCTACGTACGTACGATACCTTAGGGACTTTCCGTGTTTCTCTACGCAAACGGCTCGTATAAAGACGCCATTATCAAAACGTCTAGACGGAAAATTCCTTCGGGGCAAGAAAAGCCTTCGATACGCGCTGTCGGCATTATCTGTCGGATATTATCTGTGCGAAGGAGGTAAAATTAACAGAGGATAAGCGTAAAACGAAATCATCGTGTGCGGTTAAAAACGACGCGGATCATTAGCAATCGCGGGGAAAAAAAAGGATAATTGGGCCTCGATTCGTGTTTGTGATCTAATTAATCACTCGGAAAGTAATGTCGATCGAACGATGTTTTCGCGATGGATGCGACGAGTTTTACGTTATGTCCCGCGATTATATGACAGCGAAATTTTGCATACTAATGCATATTCATACAGTATTTAGCGCCGGCAACGAGTTCGCGGCATTAAATAAAAATGTGATTTGCCGCTCTGTAATTTTGAGGCTATTTCACCGCGGGTGTGATTCAATTAGCAGGAATGCAAATTGCGTTACGTGCCCGTTTATTTTTGCATAGGCGCTCCGATGGTAGATAACGGTTTAATTATCAAGTACCAAAAATTCGTAACGCAAGTGCCGGGAAATCTAT